GCCACCTTTGCATCTGAGTTTTAGGCTTTTCTTCAGCACTGCACTATTATGCTGTAATCACCAGGCTTATATCTATTGCTGCAGACCCACGACATGGGTGATCATAGCAAGATCATTTTTCAGAGAAAGGTGCACCTTTCAGACAGAGACGAGAGAGTGTTGGCGAGATAGTCAGGTAGAGAGGCCCACATGAACATGAAAAGGACGTTGGTACGACCTGATTGAGTGATGGTCAAACGTTACAATCTCTTGCGCCGGTGGCAGGTTCCACAGTATGCTGTTCACATCAAATACAAAACTCACAGCAGGTTAACATGGACAGCACGCTAACAAGATGGATGGTTCTTAACCTCAAAAAAACAAATATCTACCCATTGTCTTATGACATTCTGTGAACTTTGTGACCCTCAGCTATAGCTCAAGTTTAATCAAATTTATAATAAATAATATTACCATTTATGTTACCAAATAAATTTATTATGAAAATATATCCTATAGCTAATCTAATAATACTTATTTTGTATTAAGAATGTTTTACTTTTTATATAAATTTAGTCAAAGTTCAGACTGTTTGACACCTTGAAAAGTGATAATTGCATTCTTTTTATGGCGGAGGGAGTACCTCTCTTATCTTTGCATTATATCTCCGTCTCAGAACTAATACAATTTTACCTCAATCCTTAGTCAAATTATCTTAAGTATGATTGATTTATAAAAAATACTCCCTCCGTCCCTAAATGTGTGTCGTCACGGTTTATGCGTGCCGATAAGTTTGACTCAATTTATAGAAATTGCGTGCAACATTTGTCTTTCCAAATAAATTTGTTAAAAAACTAGATTCAAATATCTATCCAATGATACTAATTATTTACCATAAATATTAATATTTTTTAATATATATCTAATCAAAGTTGTTTGTTGGGAAGTGAAAACGAGGAACATTTGGAGACGGAGGAGGGTGTATCAATATTAAAATGTTAAATAAGTATAGTATGAAAATACATTTCATGGTGATATGATGTTACTTATTTGGTATCATAAAAATTGTTACTTTTGTATAAACTAGGTCAAACCCAAGATTATTTGACTTTGTACTATTCTAGAATTGTATCTTTTTAGGACGGAGAGAGTAAGATGTTTTAGTTATGCCTTAAGTTAAACATTTCTGATTTTAATCATCTATAATATCGCACAACACATGCCTACTCTGCCACCAGGCAGGCAAAAACAGTTTGTTTGACAACTGTGCCTATACTACCAGGTCTAGACGACAACAATCTTCTCGTCGTTCGGGAAGCAGTTTGTTCACCGAGTCAGGGGCCTGTTTGGAACACTGGATTTTTTTTTCATGTGTTTTTATTATGAAAAATAAAACTAATTCATGTATTTCAAACAGGCCCAGGCCCACGAAGGGGATCATGGCAGATTTGGAAAGAAGGGAACAAAAAGGCTTTCCAAAAATAAGAGCATAATGACAGGACTGCTACTACAGGCATACGGCAAGAAGCTATGCCGTGTTCGGCTGGGGTTGGCTGGCTGGGGTTGGCTGGCTGGGCTGGCCAGCCCCCTCATATGAACACTGTTCTAATGAATCAGCCAGTAGTATTTCTCTCACATAAACGAATCAGTAATGATACGAATCAGCCAACCCAACAGGCTGTCTAGACGGTGGATTGAAACCGGTGTTTCGGAGCTTGGGCAAACCCGTTTTAATTTGAACCTCGATCATTTCTACTTAATACAATGAAACACACAACTCTCTTATGTTTTCATAAAAAAAATGAATAACATGTGCTAAAAGTTGATAGCTATTTTCTATAAACTTGATCAAACTAAAAAAATGACTTAAAAAAAACATGTCACAACTCACAAAACCCAAATCCTCCCTTGCCCCTGGCACTGCCGTATTTTTTTCTTTATTTTTTTTCTTTGTTGGCGTTACGCTTCCACCACCACCCCCCTCCCTCGCTAACCTGTGGCCTATCATCTAGTCACGAGACGCCGCGTTGTCATCTCGATCCGACAAGGCCAATATGTTGTCACCGCCGTCTCACTGTCCCACCCGTTGCCACAACTAGGTCAACTACTAGCTAGCTTCCTCAGGCAGGCTAAGCCCAAGCCAAGCCTAAACAGTAATGCTAGCCTAATTCTTCCTAATGAAAGTAGAGATTGATGGACAAAGAAGCACAACAAATCTTCGACAACTGGACGGCATGGAAATTATTAACATTTTTTTTTGCTCTTAATTTATCGGCAGATAAATATAAAACTAAGGTTTCGTACGTAAATAGTTTTATCTCTACACGTAGACACGTTTCTGGCCGTCGTTTTAAAAATAAACTGGAGTTGGACACGTCACACGTTGTCGTTGGATCGGCCTGCCTATCATGCATTCCTTGTTTATTTTAAGCAGAAACACTAGAAATATACAAATAATACATGCATTGGTGAGCTCGAGGAGACACGGTTGTTGGCGCGCTCGCTCTCTGCCTTTCTCTCTCTCTCTGTCCATGACAGTCCAGTCTACTACTCATCTTGCAGTTTTTTTATTCTCGCTCCCATGTGAAAGTTGGTAGCCGTCCAACACGAAAGATCTATGGCCAAAAGAAATCTTTCTGACAAAAAGCTCCTTCCTTTTTGTTCTTGTGCACTGTTGTGCTCATGTGGCCGCGAACCCTACGTAGGGCATCTCAGATTGAAGAAAAACCGTATACGGTAGGGCCTCAGATTATTAGTGTCGGGACAACTCACAAGTCCCTTTTGGAGCTCGATAGATCTATGGTTACCTCTGTGCAGTGCAGTGGTTAAACAAATATATGCAGTAGTAAACCTCGCCGCTAATCGCCCGATCGCCTGCAATGCCCGTGAGTGTGAGTTCGATGTGACGACGGAATGACGGAGAGCGCGCGATGGAAGCACGCAGCAGGTGAGGACACTGCTGGTGCTGGTCGACAGACGAGACGATCGTGTCACACATCACCCGCACGCACGCACGCACGCGGTGTCTCTCTAATCTCTCTCGCGTAGGAGTACTCCACTCCGTTAGGAGTATCTATCTGTACCTAACAATCTACCATCAACCAGCAGCGGCTCTTGCGTGTGAGGAAAGCAAAGCACGAGATGAGACGCCAGCAGCACGTTCAAGGACAGGCCACACACGATCGCTGCATCATCAAGCGTTTAAGGCCACACACGATCGCTGCATCAAGCGTTTAACATAGGTGGTGTTTGGTTCCTCCTCCTAAATTTTAGTCGCTGTCTCATCGAATATTTGAACATATGCATGGAGTATTAAATATAGATTAATTACGAAACTAATTGCATAGTTTGCGACTAATTTGCGAGATGAATCTTTTAAGCCTAATTAATCCATGATTTGACAACGTGGTGCTACCGTAAACATGTGCTAATGACGGATTAATTAGACTTAAAAAATTCATCTCGCGGAGTACCGATGGATTATGTAATTTGTTTTTTATTAATATCCAAACACCTCGTCTAATATCCTTCCGACGTACCTCCTAAATTTTAGTCGCCGAATCCAAACAACACCATAGTACCCTAATAATGCATGGCAATTAAAAGGGCTGTCCCCCCTTCTCCTGCTCATATCATGCGAGCGCATCCAACTGGCATCCTCCTCAACCAGATACTCTTTTTCCTCCTTAACGGAGATGTATGTATTCATCTCAATCCACATGTATTGAAGTATAAATTAGAATGGAACTTAGTTTAATTATACTTCAATCCACTCCAACACATGTGGATTGAAGTGGATATACCATTAAAACAAGGTCTAAAGGTTTTTTTTAGAACACCAACCCTCCCTCCCCTCAACAGAAACCTTTTTCCTCCCCTTTAAAATTTGCTACAAATAAATTAAGAAAACATGATTTCTAATTTTGAGGATGATTTCTCTAGTACTACATCAAAAACATGTATTTCTTTTAACTTCCTTACATGAGCCGAGCCGAGCCACTAACGAGCCGAGTCGAATATGCTACCGAGCAACAAGCTTTTTGTCCAGCCTTACGTAGGACACACAGTTAAGTGTGTCAAATTTTTCTTCATTTGTCCTCCTGGTCAGTAGTGGAGCCCAAAGTTTTTAGAAGCCTAAGCGATTCTTATTATGCAAAAATATTTAGCTAGGAAATTATAGTGCTCTCCTTTTGTATAAAGGATTGTTTTTGAACTTCGCGTGGCTCCACTACTGGCTATCTCTCCCCTCCCTCCCATGGCCGGTTCTTTCTCTTCTCCCTCTCCTTGTGGCCGATCGGCTTGCCCAACATGCGTAGGCGGCGACACGGCTGCCCAAGATATCATTGAGTGAGGAAGGAAGAAAGAAAATTGAGAAAAATTGTTGGTTGTTCCTCACTTTTATTTGACGAAGAGAGTGAAAGTTTTGAGAGATTAAAAAAAAAAATTGTTGGAGCTCCTTTTTTTCTTGAATTCAATTTAGCACTGGTTTTTTTTAAGGAAGACTCAATTTAGCACTGGTTTTTTTTAAAGAAGACTGTGGAGCAGAGCTCCTCCCTGTATATTCAACTCTAGCCTGGGGAATTGAACCCCCAAGATATCATTGAGTGAGGAAGGAAGAAAGAAAATTAAAAATAAAAAAATAAATAAATTGTTGGAGCTCCTTTTTTCTTGAATTCAATTTATTTAGCACTTAGCCTGAGGAATTGAAACTAGGACCTCATGAGTGCTGCTAGAACTATCTAACCAACTTAGCAAGAGGCCATTTGCATTAGCACTGGTTATAGCAAAAAGAGATTGTATTTGCTCAAACTGATAGTGATGCTCTTAGTTAGAGGTGGAGGGAGCAAATTGTTATACCAAAAAAGTAGCTTTTTATTTGGTCTAGTCATATGCATGCAAATTCAAGAACAGAACAAGTATATTCAAGTGAAAGTAGTTACCAGGACAAATCAAAATCTGCTCGCATCATGTACGCTAATCAATTGGATTCTTGGAAATAAGCAAGTAAATTAATCAGTAGCCTAATCTGATGTGCAGACCCATGAGTCGACGATGCCTGCTTGCGTTCTCATGCCCGCCGTTGCCGCCACCGGGGCCGTCGTCGTCGTCGCTGTGGAGCCGTCGGCCGACGGGTTACGCCGACTGCGCTCCAGCAGAGGCCGCGTCGAAGAGTACGTCGCTTTGCAGTGGCCGCCGTTGCGCGGGTGCAAGTGTGCGTGCGGCCCTTGGGTGCCCACCATGACGCCGTGGTCGTGTGTGAGACCCAAGAAGTCCGCCGGGTCCTGCAGCCTCGTGGCGGACGACGGCGGCGTCGGCGCTATGCCGCGGTCGAACGCTGGGTGCGCCGCGTAATTGCCGTCGCCGCCGAGGGAGGAGCTCTGGTGGAACGAGTGGTAGTGGTTGCTGCTGTGATCTTGCTGCATCCCGAGAAGAGCGGACGTCGAGGCTGCTGTGAGCTGGTGGTAGCTGTCGCTGGACGACGCCAAGGCCGTCGTGCCTGCGGTGGTGGTGGAAGCAGGGGCAATGGAGATGTTGGCCGGCGCCGGTGAGGACGTGGAGGGCGAGGTGAAGCTCGGCGGGTAGGGGGTCGACGACGCGTGGACCTGGACCTTCTGCCCGAAGGGGCGGAGGAGGTACTGCGGGAGCGTGGCGGGGCTCGTGGTCCCGGCGGCAGCGGTGGCGGTGCGCAAGGGGAAGAAGTGATGGTCGAAGCGGGAGCGTGCGGTCGTGCCGCCGGCGAAGGGCGGGGCGGGGATGCCGGTGAACTCCTGCACCATGGCGCGGAAGTTGGAGGTGTCGGTGGTGAGCACCGTGGTGGGCGCGCGGCGCGACGCCCGCGCACGCTTCCTCGACCCCCGTGGCGGCGCCGCCGCTGCGGCCTGGGCGGGCGCTGCGTCAGCCTGGTCGGCCGCCGCAGAGGCCGCCATAGCTGCAACATGGCCGAGCAGCGACGGCGGCGAGGTGTCTGCGCCGGCCGGGAGTGGCGCCGTCGTCGAGCACCAGTTGGACAGCGGCGGCGTGCGGAGATCCTGGAGGCCGTAGATCAAGGAGCCGCCGCCGAAGCCCGGCACGGATGGCGGCAGCGGCGGCTGCCGGAGCAGGGCGGAGAGCGGCGAGGAGTCGGCACCGCATCTGGAGTCGAACTCGTCGTCGCCGCCGCTGGACGACTGCAGGCTGCCACTGTTGCCGGAGTCCATCCCACGGAACGTAGGCGCGAGAGCCCGCGGCGCCGCGCCAGGGCGTGGTGCAAGTGCAAACCGCAGTCCGCAGCTCACCAAGCTACGACCTTCGCACCAACCGACCAACGGAAGAAGCGAAGCAGGACCAGGGACGGTGGTGCAGCACGCAAGGAGACGCGCGCACGCCGAGTCCAGTCGGCAGATCGACCGGCCGGAGTGGAGACCGAGAGGATCGGAGGGAGTGAAGATAGCAGCGGCCGGGAGCGACGACGAGGCGAGACAGAGAAAGGAGAAGGCAGGCACGCTGCACGCATATGGGTGTGGCCGTGGCCCGCGGCGGAGGGTGTTTTTGTATGGAAATGGCGATCGGCCGGCCCTGGCGAGCTTATGATTAGGCGCTGGCGCGCTGCGAAAAGTTGCGTGCGGGCGGGCGGGGTGCTTGGGGCCCGGGCACGGCCCCCGCCAGGCAGCGATCCAGAGGTTTATTCGGGTCGGGGGTGGGGTGCGCGCTCAGCAAAGCGTCGCGGTCGCCGGTCGGCAGGGGGGAAATCATGTCGTCTGCCCCTAGCCTGCCCAGCTTTCCTTCAGCTTAGATCCCGATTTTTTTTTAGTCCCATTTTTTAAAATTTTCACAAATATATCCCTAGAAGAAAGATTTTAAAATCTACACCCTTAGTTCGGCGGCATCGATGCTGGCGCCCAACAGCTAACACATATCGGCACTAGCGTGCCTGGCGCCGAGCTCTTGGGGTCGAAACCAACGTGGCGGTGACATGGTAGGAAGCTCGGCGCCAGTCACCCTGGCGCCAAGCATGCCTTACGTATGGGCCCTCCTTCCTTTTTGTCTTGCTTTCCCTCTCTCTCCCACCAACCGCGCCCGAACCTGCGCACTGTCGCCGCCGCCGGCGCCGCTGCCCCCATGCCCGCGCCCTCTCCCGACCCTAGCCGGTCGTGGCCTCGCCATCTCGCCAGCGCGCGCCGCCGCCCTTCCTCGCTTTCGCGCCCTTGTCACTGGCAATACCATCGCAAATTTGCCCCACGCCGTGCCAGCGCCACGGACGACGCGCCACGCTGCGTGCCGTCTTGACCCACACGCTTCGGCGTCTACACCGTATGCCGCCAGCGCCCGCCTTGCCGTGTCGCGCGTCGCGCCGCTACCACCACCACCGCCGCGCCCCTTTTTTTGCGCGCCGCGCCCCATACCGCCGCGGCGGCGCGCTTTACACACGCCACGCCCGCACCATTGTGCCACCAATGCGTCGCGCTTTTGCCTGCTGCCATGTGTGTGCCATCGTCACCAGCGCGCGCGCCGCGCCGCCGGTGCCGGTGCGCCGTGCCGGGCCTCTGGCCTCATGGATCGAATCGCCATCCATCCGCCGCCGCCGTGCACCACCGCCCGGCCCAAAGATTTTCGGCCATGCCACCGTCGGCCCCTCCATTCGTCGTCGACCACGCCCGGCGTCATTGCGACGTCGACGTTCGCGACTCCGTCGTTGGAAAGGTAAAAATTTTGAATATGCAATGTACGTATTTAGTTAGCTTTGATTGTAGTGTAATAGTTTTGGCATTTGTTATTTACTAGTTAATGTGATGACTCAGGTAGTTGATATAGCTAGTGATCTAGTGAGATAGATATATAGATAGATAGAAACATAGATACATAGGTACATAGATATAGTTAGATAGCTACTTAGATTGGTAGTTACATATTTAGTTAATTAAATAGGATCTAGCTATTTAGTTAGTACACTGTATCTATACATGTAGTTATTATCTTATTTACTTAGTTTGTAGTTAGAAAGTACTTGTTAGGTACTATCTATTGTCTAATTTGGACTAAAGGATATGTGTTTCATTATGTGTTTGAACTAGATGGACAACCTAGTGACTATATATCATGGAGGCACTGTTGAATACGATCGTTATGGATATATTGAGTTTGTTGACATGCGAAACGTGCCTGTGCTATTCAATGATAGGCCTTCATTTAGTGAGATAGTTGCAAGGGCTCGGGAGGAGCTGCATTGCCTTAGAGATAATGGCATTGTAGTTGAGGGTGTACTGCACCTAGGTTCTCCTCCCAACATTCTCAGGCGAATGATCCCAATTGGGTGTGCGGATCAGTGGGAGAACTATGTGAGATCGGCTATGAAGAGCCAACTACAATGTTTAGACGTGGTTGTGCGTCGGGTGTTAGTTGATCCCATCCCTCATGGGTTTTCCTCACCAATGGGTCAGTAGGCACACATTGACCCTCCTGTCCTAGAACCTGATCTGGACCTGGAGGTTGCACCTTTGGTTCTCGATGCTAATTCTGCCCCCAATGCTATAGTTGGAGATGTTTGTCAGACTCATATTGTTGTGGCAGATCCTCCTCATGAGATCCCTTTGACACAGAATCATCCGAGTAAGTGTCTTAACCGCATGGTTATTAGGAGCTTACCCTCTTCCTTACATCCATTTCTTTTATTCTTTTCTCATTTCTCTGCCTATGTTGCAGGAGACATTCCTAAGAATGTGGATGTGCCCCCTGTTGCTGCGTAAGTGCACCGTGGAGATGGATTCCGTGGCTCCAATAGTGTTGAAATTATGAATGATTCCATGGCTTCTATTAATATTTTGACATGTACATGGATTCAAGTAACGATGACATACGTGCAGGTTGGATCGTCAGAAGAACATAAATATTTTTTACTGCGAGAAGCACCACCAGTTCTACATTGAGCAATGGGAGGAGATGCACGACAACGTGGACGAGAACAACGAGCCGCACACGAACCATGAGTTCAGGCGGTACCAAGCTTGGTACCAGCGTGTGACACGTTGCAGGCTGAGGGTACAGTGGACAGAAGATGACTACGCCGACATCGAGTCCTCCGACGATGAAGACACGACGTACGACCAATCTACTCATGCAGGAAGGCAGGTGGAGGGGACCAATCTTGGACAGAGTGGTAAGTCAATTGCCTTATTTTTCTACGTTAAGTTGCATACCAATACATTAAGCATTAGAGTTATCTATTTTAGTTAGTGCCACCTTCGGGCCATATCATCCTTATAATACGTTAGATTCTTGTACAAAAGAAAACAAAACCTATTGCTATCTGTTCAGAAGTATTATTACTGAGAACTTTGTTGCAGGGCAATACACTCAAATGCTCCGTTGAAGACATTGAGCGCATTCGGCCGAGAGTCAGGGACGACTACATGCATAGCTTTCTAGATGTAAGATTCAAAATATTCTTTCAAACATATTATTAATACGTTAGATTCTTTCAGTTAACATAATTTTATACAACAGAGGCTGTCACGTCGGCTACGTCGTGTGGCTGCTCATTGTGGTTGCAGGACAGACACGACGCATGACGTGTACGTTCCTTCCGTCAGGCAGAGGAGGCTTATGTTCCTCTAGCCAAGCAGCTACAGGGGACGAGGATGGGGACAAGGACGACGACAACGACGAGGATGACGTGGACCAGAGGCACGAGGAGCTTGGCCCCTCTCAGCTCCATGACGCTCCCTCGACTCAGCCTACACAACCTCTAGGCACTAGGCGACACCGTCCACCTGACCCTTACACTCCAGGTACGAGCGCTCTCGGTCACAAGGGTAAGGGTAAGAGTAGGAGGCTGTGAGGGTTGTGGTAGATGTTAGTATGCACTATTATGAATTTTGTATTTACTTTCCTGTAACTATTTAGAACTATATGGACATTCTAGACTATTTGGACTGTGCAGGACATGCTATGTTGATTGTGATGTTCGTTGTGGTTGCATAGTGCTCTTTGGATGATTAAATGTTTGGATTATATAATGATGTCTCTGTTTGTAACTATGGATGCTCCTAAAACAAGGGAAACTCTTGCAATTTTTTTTGTGAATCATTAATCATTCTACACTGCTAAAAAGGCATAAATGTAGTACACAGATTAAATGTAAATTCATTAGAACGTGTATAGTCCAATCGTATTGTACAGACGCTTTACAGATGAATCTAGGCTTTTCAAGTAATAGTGAATGAATAAAGGCTTTTCAGACAATGAAAATAGACTTTTCAGTTACAAGGACAGCAACGATTTATCACTTCACTGACATAGTACTGGCATGCAAGGAAGCACAACTCCACTCCATCTCCACCATCCATCTTATGACTGTTTGATCCAAGGGCTGAGGTGAAGAGGCACACGGATCGCTGACATGGCACATTGAGAGGCCTCCATTCCTCCTCTCAACCTATAAATAACCCTTCACTCCCTCTCATTCACACACACAACAAGGAAAAAGAGCACTCAACATTTTCTTTCGTTGCAGTACCAATGTCTAGAGGGTCATCCAGAGAGAGAGGAAAGGGGAAGGGAACAACCATTAGGTGGGAGGGTCCTCTTGGTCCCGATTTCTTTGAGGAAGCTCTTTATGAGAGGTTCCTAGTTGAGAGCAAAAGCGATTTCACCAAAGAGGCACCACTGAGAGGATACGATGAATGGAAAGAAGAATGGCCAAAATGCATGCATGGTGAGGACTGCCTAGTGCAGATGTTCACCGAGAGAATAGATGGAGGTCGTCGTTTCTTCAAATACCCACGAGCATGGATAATTGCTGAAAGGATCAAGATGCCCAAGAGGGGGGGGGTGAATTAGGCTAAATTCTAAATTTTTTGCAATAAATAAACTCTACGGTTAGCCCAATTAACCCCTTGTGCCTAGAAAGTGTTTCTATTAATCTAACGCACAAAAGTTTAGCACCCTAAGTTCGAATCCTACTCTAGCATGACAATTCTAGGAATGTAAATGACAAGAATTGAATTGCTCAAAGTAAATCCTCAAAGTAAAGAGAGAAGGAGGAACGCAGCGATGTTTTGCCGAGGTATCGGAGAGTCGCCACTCCCCACTAGTCCTCGTTGGAGCACCTGCGCAAGGGTGTAGCTCCCCCTTGATCTGCGCAAGGATCAAGTGCTCTCTATGGGTTGATTCTTCGACACTCCATCACGGTGAATCACCCACAACCGCTCACAACTTGAGT